GAAAATTCAACCCTTTGTCTAGTATGCCCCTGAATTACAATAAACGATCATTCCTTTTTTTCAGATATTTTGTTTGGATTTGTACATATTGTGCCTCTTGCTATTATCTAATTCTCCAAATAACAAAATAGAAAAGCAGTCACTTTGCTCATGGCATAATTTTGCCTTCATCTAAGTAATTGGTATTATTAAATTTGTGATTAAGTGCTATGGAACAGATTTTAGAGGGAAAAGATCTTAACCAGTACATTAAAAATGTCTACTACCAGTACTTTCATCCCTGCTTCAAGGCAAGACTGAAGTATGGAAGACAAAAATATGAGAAGAAATCGTACATCTCTCAAGGGATCTTCTGCTAACGTTTAGGACACTGAAATTCTAACTAAACCCCACATCTGCTGAGAATGGGTTTATATATACACATGCTTAAGTTTCTGTGTGAGTACATATATAAATCTATCTCTAATTTGAATGTATTTCCAGACTGACATTCTCTCATTACCACCCGAGTCCAAGCCACCAGCACCTATCTTCTTCAACTCTCATTGCTTCTGCTGTTGTTCCCCTACAGTTCTACTCTCAACCTAGAAGCCAGTGTGATTCTTTTAAAACATGATTGAGATTCTGCCACTCAACTTCTCAAAAACCTGCAATTGCTCTCATCTCATTTAGAATCTTCTTTACAATTTCCCCAAAGGCCCTCCACAATCTGGACACTCAAACTCCCATAACCTCATCTCTTCTACCCTTCTGCTGGCTTGTTTTGCTTCAGCCACATAGATTAATATAGGTTCAGTCCCACATTTGGTCCTTTATTCTATTTCCTCTACTCAGACTAAATGGCTGACTCTCTTACCTTCATCCAGTCTTTGCTCTAATGTCATTTCTACCCTATTTGAATTTGCAGTCCCACTACTTTCCATTACACCTATATCTATCCCTTTAGTGGTCCTAAATCCCCTTAATACATTCTGTGTTTTTTTTCCATAATATGTATCACCGAGCAATACACAATATTTACTTATTATCATTTTATTTGTTTGCTTGCTTCTATTCTGTCTTCCAATGTTATAATAAGAGCTCTATGAGGGCAAAGATTCATTAGTCTTTTTCACTGTTTTATAAGCACTTAGAATAGTGTGTGGTACATATTAAGAGCTTAATAAATATTTCTGAAATGAATGATTCTACATTCCTTAGATTTACTTGTTCTAACAATTTATTTTATTTCTCAATAGCAATGCAAAAAACATGAACGAGTTAAAAAGGACTTGAACAACTTTGCTTCACACCATCTTTGGCTTATAAGCTCGCTACCAGCTTACCCTTGTGCTGTTAAGTTGAACAAGGGTTGCCTCTGTTTCTTGATCCTATTTAAAAACTATATTAGGATCACATCTCCTACCTGTAAACTTTCATCATATGGCCACATTTTTCACTATCCTCTTGAATACTCAAAGTACAGCAAATTTTATTCACTCCAAACAAACCATGTGCACTATAATTGGCTTTGAGGAGACAATTGAAATGATGTGTGCCCAACATTTTTCTTTCCTCCCATTTATTTCCTTCTTTCTTTTTCTCATTATTTTCTTATTTCTTTTTTTCTTTTCTCCCTTCCCTCATTCCTCACACTCTTTCTTCCCTACTTCTCTTCCTTCCCTACTTCTTCCCTTCCTTCCTCCTCCCTTTAGTGGTTAGAAACTCCAGGACAATGTTGAATATTGAAGGGATATGGGCACATATCCTTTTCTTGTTCATGATCTTAGAGTGAAAACATTCAGCTATTCATCAATAAAGGTTATTAGCTGTAAGTTGATTCTCAATAATCAGAAAAGTTAAAGCCTAGTTGCCATTCCTATTATGAGCTATGTTCTTATTTTTGTACTAAAAAATTCACACTTATGGATACAAAGGCCTAATTGAACAGCTAGGGATCTCTTCAGTGAGGGAGCAGCAGAATCACTTGAAGAATTCCACACCAAAGGCATGAATTATTATTTCTAAGAATTCCTCTAGGTAAATGATAACTACACAGTAAACATGTCATTATTTATTTCAAAATTGTCCTAGATAGAGTTCCCCTATAAGCAGATTTTAAGACAAGGGATATATTTGGGAATGATCCAAGGAAGCACTGACAAAACAGTACACAAGGTCGGACAGGGAGCAAATAAAAAAATCCTATGAGGCAGGTTTTTACTGTATGCTATGGGGTCTTAATACTGGAACAGAATTTTGGGTCACAGCACAAATCATCCTTCAGAGTTACCCCAACTGAAGAATGAGTGAGTAGTGGTGTTTATCTACTAAAAGCTATTTGTCATTGGTTGAGGTTTTCTGGGGTACATGGGGGATGGAGAGCTTTAACTACCTGACACTCATGTGTTTTGATTACTAGAGAGAGTCCTAAGCAAACAGTCAAAGACACTTGGAGTTGGCAGCTGCTAGTCAGAGTGCAAGGCATGCTGAGTCAGGAAATGATACGGGTGACGTCCCAAGAGTATTTTATACTCCAATAAAATTGATGCTTTCAGTAAAATTAGGTACATGGACAAATTATGGTAAATCCTTTCAGTTAAGTCTTTTAGTGGGTAATTTCTCCTTTTAGGATAAGCTTTCAAATATTTAACTCTCTCAGGAGAAAACCTTTTGGTAACTTGAAACTTATGATGCTAAGAAACTCTAGGTTCATGCTTTCATATGAGATACTTTAAAGCAGGATTTCATAGTTTAACACAGTAATTATATTTAGGAAAATTTTATCATGAAAATGATTTTTTCTTAAAATAAATGCAAGTTAATACTGTCCTAAAGTTTCAAAAATTTTAATTCTTTCAATTATGTAATCTTGTTTGTCATGAGTATTATTAACTTTGTACATAAAAATAATCACAATCAATTGATTAACTGCTAATATTGGCTCTGAAATAAGAAAGAAAATATTACTTATGTGTACGTTTCTCATTCCTCTCTAGCTCTGCTTAAGCTTGTGTTTTTGCTATTCAATGTAGATTTCCATATATAAGTTGGTGTTTATCTGCATAGTTTCTGTCAACATGATTAGGTAGCTTTCCAATTCAATACATCTACTGAAACCGTAAGTGCTATTTTAGTTGTATTTTGTTTAGAAAGTAATTATTTTAACTTATTCTATATTATCTATGTTATACTGCACTTTCAAAAAATATGTATTTTAAAGCACAGCAATATCTACTGTAGTTCTGTAATTTGATTCATGTAAATTTGTCAGGAATAAAATCAACCACAATTTAATTTCAAACATTTCCAACCAGCAGCTGTACAATTTATGCACTGCTTTTCTATTTTTACTACTGGATAATGACAATGATGAATGTCTTTAACAGGAAATACATAATCATTGATGAAAAGACTGTGCTCAAAACTATCCGCCTTCAAAAAGTCAATGAGGGTAGGAAGCCCATTCACCTGCTGGAGGAGATTTGTTGGGAGAGAGAAGGAATCATGCCCACAACTGCATCTTATGGGGATTCAACCATCCAGCTAAATTAAACCTGAAATAATACCATATTATAAACCACAATAATCAGTACTAATATGATTGCTGTCAGCTACAATATCAAATATATTAGGATAAACAAATGATTGACTATCAGTGTAGCCAAGGGTCTATCATTCTGAGTATGCCAGGTTAGCAAGTATGCAGACAGTTATTTAATGGGCAATTTAATAAGATCAGGGTCACTGCTCTCCTGAACCAAATGTCCATGAACCTGGGAAGGAATGAATATTAGCTCATTAGCAATAATTTACATGTTGAATGACAATGATGAACTTGCAAACTATGCTGCCATGTGAACTTAGTTGATAGAAATAATGACAAGATTTCTGGCATGTCACCTTTATCAAGTGATTAGATTTCTTTTCTTCACTGTACCAATAAATGATTTGACTTTTACTTCAAAAAGAATAAGAAAAGATACCATATGACATGGATGGAATAGTTCCAGAGATCTGTGAAGCTCTTATTTTACTGTGTAATTGTATAGCTTATTTCATATAATGTAAGATATTAAAGTCAAGTCACTGAAGATGCCGCAACATCGATTTACAAAACAAACAATAGCTTTATCTATTTGTACATTTATACAGGCAAATGTGTGATATAGAATGAGCTCCTAAGAATTCATTTGAGTATAAAATACTTTAGCTAATATGTACTGCTGATAGCAAACTCATCTTTCATCTATAATCGTATGCTGTTTGCATTGGAAAATACTAAGCTCTGGGTATACTATTTCATTTTGAGTGTAAAATGTATGATCACGAAAATGATCTGGAGACACATTATTATGTACATTTTCTTGATCCTACATTCATTTATCTTCAAACACTGCCTTCTAAAATTCATAGCCTATTTCCTTATCATGATTTGTCTTACTTCAGAATTCAGTAACTTGCTGTTAGTGATTTGAAAACAGCCGGATGTTGTTGGTTGCCTTTAGCTGGCAGTTATAAAAATATTTTATTGATTTCTATTCAGTTTTATTCCATATACTGTGGCATAGGTATTGACATTAATTTGAAATTGAATATGTACATGTGAAAAATTTAAAACAAAAATAAGGTACATTAGATATAAATGAAAAATCTAATTTCCCTTTTAGGAAAATGAAAGGACATTAGTCTACTGGCTAGGAATAAACTGTTCCTCCATCAAAGTTTATTTTCTAGTGGTTCCTTCCTGTCCCTGCTGCACGTAAAAATGATTATTTTTGTGAATTTCTTCATTTTAGGATGTCTTTCAATACTAAATATTGCAAGATACATCTTCTCACTTATGTCTCTCTTTCTACCCCAGATTTCTAAAGCAAACCACACTATAAAGTATTTTTAAGAATTCCAAGTGTAAGTCAAAATGCTGTCATGATGTAAACAATTTAAGTCAATTGTTCTGGTACTAGGAATGAGCAATATGATCATCTTGAAAAATCTAAATGAAAGTGCTTTGCTCTTACCTTCAAAGACTCCTCTTGTTTAAAGAGATTTTCAAAGTCCTTAGCACAGAGGTCAGAAGCATTGAGAAGTTGTTCCACTTCTGATAGGGCTTGTGAGACATGAGTGATCTCAGTCAGATATGTAGAAGGCACATAAGAAATTTCCAAAGGCATATCTTCAGTCATCACCGTCATCATTTCTTCACGGACAGTGTGCTGGTATAGATATACAAAAGAACAATTCTTTTAGCTTCCTAACAGTGAAAACTCCTCTACTGAGTTTATATAGGTTTCATTCTATAGCTGACAACTCAATCTACAAACTGGGCTGAAACTGGATTCAAAAACTAATAATGATAACTCTAGTAAAAAGGTTATTTGATTATATATGTACTTATTCCAAAAAAGCATTAGAAGCATTTCATAATAAGCGATACACATATATCAGCACCATGAATATAACATGAAAGAACATGAGGTCATAAGAAGGGTAGTTTTATGCTGAGAAAAAGATGATTTTTGAAACTGGCATTTAAATTTCTAATTTGCCACTGGCATTTAAAATTCTAGTTTTTCTGGAAATCTAGGGATGAGATTGGGTGAGGGGGGTTCATATCCGTTTTATTAGTAATGAAGGCTACTTTTCTATACATTTTCCCCAAGATCTTCATTGAGATACAACAGATATAAAGTAGTGAGGCTGGCATATAACTTTGTATTAAGCCCTCTTCTGCAAATTCTAGACATTAGCTCCTGTTTTTGTTGGTAGTGTCTTCAAAAGTTAAGCTGCTAATTAAAGTGCTGTATGAGCAGAAGTGACTGTGGAATTTATATTTTAAAAATACCTCCAGAATGTCCTGAGACATAAGGGACCTCTAACCTCTTCTCGTGCATCTAGACTTTTCTAACTGGGATCCAAGAGCTGGGTATGATGAGAATTTCTAGCTCCAGAGTCCTTTTGGAGTTTCTCAGTAATGCCTCTTTCCCTATTTCTTATAAGAGTAAAAAATAATACTATTCAGCATACAAATTCAGAAAGACGGATGACCTCTGCTCTCTTCTGTCTACAGTATAGGCAGCAAAATTCTTGTAATTGAAATTATTCTCCCAGTAACTTTGTCTAGAATTGACTAACTGCCACCTGCCTGTTGATGAGGTCACCTGAGGGTTTCAGTGGTAGGGTCTTTGGGGACCTTCAGAAGAAAAGCATGCTAACAGAGCCATTTATTACCGCACAGCCTTTTATGACAAGACCATACTCATTTTTACAGTAATGTAATAACTTGTACTTTGGGGGATCCTCGACTGAGCCCCACACAAAGATGAATAAAGTTTATAAGCTGGTCTGTGTATGTTTCTTTTTAACTTACCTGACTTAGGACTTTTATACTCAATTCTTACATGATGTAAAAAATGAAATTCTAATTTAGATGTCTCATCTACTTCTGATATAGCAAACTCATAGAATTGCACAAATTAGTTTTTTAATTTTTTTTTTGAGATGGAGTTTCACTCTTGTTACCCAGGCTGGAGTGCAATGGCTCAATCTCGGCTCGCTGCAACCTCCATCTCCTGGGTTCAGGCAATTCTCCTGCCTCAGCCTCCTGAGTAGCTGGGATTACAGGCAAGTGCTACCATGCCCAGCTGATTTTTTGTATTTTTAGTAGAGATGGTGTTTCACCATGTTAACCAGGATGGTCTCCATCTCTTGACCTCATGATCCACCCGCCTTGGCCTCCCAAAGTGCTGGGATTACAGGTGTGAGCCACCACGCCTGGCCCTAGTTTTTAAATAATTATGCCTTTTACAACATTTGTTTTATTCTGCATATCTTGACCAAACCCATAGCACACATTCCTTCATGATCAATGGAATGATAATATACATATTTCTCTCATTTATATTTAAAAGGATATTAGAAACTTGAGCCAGAATTTGATAAATAAAATTCAGAATTTAATGATAGATTTCTTAAGAAATTCTTAATTTCTCTATTTCTCTAATATGCATTTTACCAATTTAAAAGAAAAATAACTCAGCAGGCTATTTGAATGTGAAATTTTCACTGACCCATTAGGTTTAACACAGTAAAATCAACAGCACAAATAACATAAGCTTATGTTTTGCAGGCATTACATTAGGTTGGTGACCATTATGTTATTCTTAATAAAATTTACAAGTTAATAAGCTCATTTCTTCTTTGCATTAGTTGCTTTAACTCCTGAGGTAGAGAGCGCCATATCATTTAAAGAAAGCATATATTTTATAATATTTATTTAATGGCACAATTACCTTTGCTTTTAATGATACGCATTTTATACCTGTAAATTGTTAGAAAGGTGTTTGTTATCAGGAATAGAGTTAGGTAGAGGACAAGTTGTAGTTTTTCATTTATTTATTTATTTTGATGTTTAATCAAAGGAATTGTTTCAGATTGGACATATTTTTAGAAAAAGTCTAGGTGTTATTTAAAAAGCAGTGGGAATTCAAACAAGTTATGATGCATGTCCTCATCACTTTTTCTGAAAAAAATTCTAGGATACTTGTATCTATTTTCTGATTCCTCTTTGACATGTAGTTTTCTCAATCTTCATTACTTTCATTTGAGATGCTCTCAGCTATCTTTAATTCATATTGGTGCTTAATAAATATAGTAATTGTGGATTACAGCTAGTAAAAATTGTGTGAATATGATTTTTGTTGTATGGACAAATACAGTAATGAAAAGGGCACTAAAAATACACTCACTTTGTCTGCTAACATGTATTTACTTCCTTAAATAAAACTGTGAACCCAAATTTTGACTATTTGGCATTTGCATAAAGGAACTTAAAATAAAAATCAGATTTACCAATGAATCCAGGAGCTGGTTTTTTTAAAAGATTAACTAAATAGATAGACCACTAGCCAGACTAATAAAGGAGAAAAGAGAGAAGAATCAAATAGACACAATAAAAAATGATGAAGGGGATATTACCACTGATTCCACAGAGATACAAACTACCATCAGAGAATACTATCAACACCTCTACACAAATAAACTAGAAAATCTACAAGAGATGGATACATTTCTAGACACAAACACCCTCCCAAAACTAAACCAGGAAGAAGTCGAATACCTGAATAGACCAAAATTAAGTTCTGAAATTGAGGTAGTAATTAAGACTTTTTTTTGCCAACCAAAAAAAAAAGCCCAAGACCAGACGGACTTACAGCAGAATTCTACCAGAGGTACAAAGAGGAGCTTGTACCATATCTTCTAAAACTATTCCGAGCAATAGAAAAAGAGGGACTCCTCTCTAACTTATTTTGTGAGGTCAGCATCATCCTGATAACAAAACCTGGCAGAGACACAACAAAAAAGAAAGAAAATTTCAGGCCAATATCCCTGATAAAAATCAATGTGAAAGGCCAGGAGTGGTGGCTCAACCCTGTAATCCCAGCACTTTGGGAGGCCGAGTCGGGTGGATCACGAGGTTAAGAGATCGAGACCATCCTGCTCAACATGGTGAAACCCTGTCTCTACTAAAAATACAAAAAATTAGCTGGGCACAGTGGCACGTGCCTGTAATCCCAGCTACTCAGGAGGCTGAGGCAGGAGAATTGCCTGAACCCAGGAGGTGGAGGTTGTGGTGAGCCGAGATCGTGCCATTGCAGTCCAGCCTGGGTAACAAGAGTGAAACTCCGTCTCAAAAAAAAAAAAAATATATGAAAATTTTCAATAAAATACTGGTAAACCGAATCCAACAGCATATTAAAAAGCATATCCACCATGATCAAGTCAGTGCCATCCCTGGTATGCAAGACTTGTTCAACATATGCAAATCAATAAATGTAATCCATTACATAAACAGAACCAATGACAAAAAACACATGATTATCTCCATAGACGCAGAGAAGGCCTTTGATAGAATTCAACAGCTCTTCATGCTAAAACCATTCAATAAACTGGGTAATGATGGAATGTATCTCAAAATAATAAGAGCTATTTATGACCAACCCACAGCCAGTGTCATACTGAATGGGCAAAAGCTGAAAGAATTTTGTAAACCATCATAAGAGAAGAATGCCCTCTTTCACTACTCCTATTCAACACAGTTTTGGAAGCTCTGGCCAAGGCAATCAGGCAAGGGAGAAATAAAAGGTATTCAAATAGGAAAAGAGGAAGTCAAATTATCTCGGTTTGCAGAAGACATCATTGTATATTTAGCAAACCCTATTGTCCCAGCCCCAAAACTCCTTAAGCTGATGAGCAACGTCAGCAAAGTCTCAGGATACAAAATCACCATGCAAAAATCACAAGCATTCCTGTACACCAATAACAGACAAACAGAGAATCAAATAATGAGAGAACTCCCATTCATAATTGTTACAAAGAGGATAAAACATCTAGGAATACAACTAACAAGAGATGTGAAGGACCTCTTTAAGGAGAACTACAAACCACTGCTCAAAGAAATGAGAGAGGACACAAACAAATGGAAAAACAATTCATGCTCATGGACAGGAATAAACAATATCAGGAAAACAGTCATATTGCCCAAAGTAATTTACAAATTTAATGCCATTCTTACCAAGCTACCATTGACTTTCTTCACAGAATTAGAAAAAATGACTTGGAACCAAAAAAAGCCTGTATAGCCAAGAGAATCCTAAGCAAAAAGAACAAAACTGGAGACATTATGCTACCTGACTCCAAACTACAAGGTTACAGTAACCAAAACAGCTTGGTACTAGTGCCAAAACATACATACACACACACACACACACACACACACACACACACACACACATATTCCACTGGAACAGAACAGAGGGCTCAGAAATAGCACTACTCCTCTACAACCATCTGATCTTTGACAAACTTGACAAAAACAAGCAATGGGGAAAGGATTCCCTATTTAATAAATGGTGTTAGGAAAACTGGCTAGCTATATACAGAAAACAGAAACTGGACCCCTTCTTTACACCTTATGCAAGAATTAACTCAAGATGGATTAAATATGTAAATGTAAGACCTAAAACCATAAAAACCCTAGAAGAAACCTAGGCAATATCATTCAGGACACGGGCATGTGCAAGGACTTCATGACTAAAACACCAAAAGCAATGGTAACAAAAGCCAAAATTGACAAATGGGATCTAATTAAACTAAAGAGCTTCTGCACAGCAAGAGAAACTATCATCAGCATGAACAGTCAACCTACAGAATGGGA